TTTTTTTTATTGGTCTTATGGAGTATTCTAATTTGTTGAGATAGTGAGTTGGTGGGTTTTTGTTAAATGTGAGCCAAAATCATCACAATTAAAAGAACCAAAGACTTAAACTACTTCAGTTTGTGTGCATTGAATTTATTTAATACACGAGTTTCACAATTTGAGTTGAATTACTGAAATAAATGAACTTTTCCACGACATTCTAATTTATTGAGATGCACCTGTATACACAATGAGATAATTTTAGCCAACCAGCTGCATGTATTTATGATTTTCAAAATGTTTGTTTAAATATATACAGTATGTATATCAAATGGATATATATTTTTTCTTAATCGTTACTTTCATCTTCATAAAGTAAAAAAGGCACACTCAAATGTCCTGAGAGAAATAAGTACAATGATTCAGAAAATACCTATTTTACTACAACAGCATGGTAAAAGATTTGTTTCCAGTTTTGTTAGAAATGAAAAGAGGAAGATGGCAATGATCTCTGATCTGTTCATATTCTCAGTGCATCTGGAACCATGACGTTTATTTACACTTGATACCTTTTTGTTTCCTGAGTACTCTATGCATTAGTTTGTAACAACACTCTAGCTTGAAATTTGTTTCTATGCATTTGTATATACCTCATAAATGCCTTTGTAGATACTGGATTGATCAAACTGAGTACAGATACTGCTGCACTGTAATATAGATGTACTTCTGTATTCAGTTGGTCTGACTGTATATTGTCTTTGAAATGTTCTCCTAAACAAATAATGCACACGTACGATTTACCATTTGATGTTTTCGTGCATTGTTTTTCTGCATGTGGCTCTTATTGTGCATTCACCTCACTATGTATTATAGTAACACTTGAATTTGTTTACTACATTTGTTAACATTAACAATGAAAAATGCTTCTAAAGCATTTATTTTTTGTTCATGTTCATTTCAGCTTTTGATTTTAATAATGTGAAAGTTTTATCGCTTTTATTTGATCTGTTTATGCATTTACTAATAGGACCTTATTGTAACATTGCAAATATTATGAAGGACTTTTTTGAGCACAGATTCAGTATAAATATAAAATCAGTACAGTTCTGAAAACAAAAAAAAGTGTATTTAACACACTTCTATATTTGAATGTGTTTCAGGAAAAACAATAATTTCCTTATGGTTGAATTGCCACTGAATTCAAAGAGAGCATAACATTTTCTGAAACTGAAAATGGAAAAGTTAAATTGTGGTCCAACACTGTCCTAACACTGCAAATGGTGCCATGTCAGCTGACCTTTATACGTCATTTTATCCTGTTTTTTTTGGCACTGCACCCTGAGAGATGACAATTTTTCCATGCTTAAACTAATTTGCACTGCACAGTTGGTGTGTAATTGGTGGTTTGCTCAAAAACTGATATATCGGTGTAAATATTTATTTAGAGACAGTTCTTATTCAACTTATTCACAAACTTTTTAAAAACTCAAAGACGTCTGAAAACCCTTCAAAAAAAAAAAAACCTATGCAGAACAATGGCAATGCCATATTAAATCAGTGATTCTGGATGATTCTGTGGAATATTTAATTCTTACTGCTCATTTACACCATTCTGCAGTTAGATATTTTTGGCATAATGAGTGCTGAACTTATAATTAACAACTGTCTTCTACATAGCTACGTTTCTTCTAACATAAAATATTTTCTACCCAAATCAATATTTGGTGAGTAGCCATGTAATAAGCAGGATAACGTACAGCCATTATCGCAAAATAAACCTGATGAGCTCTGTCATTGTTTTTTTTTTATTATTATTATTTTAAGATAATAACCGCCTGACCATCTCTTACATATATACAAGTAATTGGACATTATAAAACACAGTTCTATTCAGCTATCTCAATGTTGCCAATCAATGATTTGTCATCTTTACTATATGAATAAGCAGCATCTCTGTTATTATACATGGGATTTTCAAATGTAGGCAATAACCGTCTTTTTGAATTTCTGTAGTACATGAAAGCTAGAGCTCCCAATATGCCAATCACTGCAATACTCAAGAACACAGCCAAACCCGTATTGACCTTGTGAGGTTCAGGACCTGTGAAGAAATAAGAGATAAAAGTATTAAGAGAAACTATCTAGTGTGAAACTGTGATATACACATTACATCAAAATGCAGTTTTATTATATTACATATGCACATTTAGGAATCAGTCCATTTTAAAGTAGAGAGGTTGCTTTTTCTTGACATTACATTAGATTTTTGAATATTTCTTGACAAAAAATAGTAAAAAAAAGTAAAGTCATTAAAAATAAGTCATAATACTACCTTCTTGTGGGTCCTTAATGGTAGGACTTATTACTGCAGAAGAAGAAAAAAACTGAATTTAAAAAAATCAGGTCTTTTTTAAACAAGGAATGTTATAACATCTGTCTATAAAATGTTATAGACAAATAGATTGATCATGTAATGTTGGTGTTTTATTTCCCCTTTACTCTAAACATTCATATTAAGCATATCTATCGATCAGGTCCAACATTATTTTTGGTGTTATTTGTCACAAGTTTTACTTCAGTGAGTAGATTTTTTTTTGTCTACCCTAAAATCTATTTTTGAATATAGGGTAAATTCTCACAATATGTGGCCCTTCTGTTATTTGACAAGAATATATTTTCATGAAATACAAATGTCTAAAGTAGAAATGACATCTTCCACAACATACTTGTATTTAAAATATATCATAGGGTATTTAATGCCTTTTCAGGAAGATTTAAACAGCAAAATGCTGAAACAAACTGTGGTCACCTATGAGTCACTGCACAAATAATTTACTGCATAGTCATTTTAATTTGGATGACTGAGTTCACAAGACAGATTTGAATTAGGTGTTTGAAACCAGCATAGATAAGCACTGCTAGAGAAAAGATGTAATCATGCTGTTGGACATTTTACTCAAAACATTAGTTAAGACACAATCCTCTGTTTCTCTGACAACTACTAATTCCGCTTTCCCCTGTTACAAAATGTCACTAAAAATGCTATTTTGAAATTTCACAATACGTACCTTTGGCAGTTTTGCAGATAAATGATAAGACTGAGTAATCACAATGCTGTTTTTTCCATTTTTTAGTTTTGGTAGAGATTAATGCGCAGTCATTATTCCAATAATGGTCTTGATAGTCATCTTCATAATCGTTCACAGCTGCCCAGTTAGTGTAATCTACCACGGTATTGTCTGACCATAACCAGTGACCTGTGTAGTTAGATAACCCAGGGTGAGTTCATATATAACCAACTCTTTTAGGCTCATGAGTTCATTCACTATTCATGTGAAAACTCGGGGCCACCGGAAAAGTGTATATTTGGTGTATTACTTTTCTGGGTTTGGAAAAGCCCAATCCAAAAGTCTTTGTAACTTTCAAGGAGCATGATGTTGTTCTCTATAAACTTCTGTTCCCCTTCATCCTTAATGCTGACAAGAGATGCACCTGAAAACCGAAGTGCAAACTTTCTTACTCTTTTGTTCTTTGCACCTGTCATGTAATTGAGTAAACAGCTTTTTAAATCAATTTATATCCTTACCCCATGTCATACAGAGTCTAGCTGCTTTGCTCCACGATTGCATGTCCGTCACAAAAGCATAGCAGCTGTCTTTGAAAGGTATCCACCTCACTGGACTGTCATCATCTTCATGTGGGCAGTGCCCAGGGTGCTGTGCTGGAACGGTTGGGGGAATGTCTGTGGAAAACGTTGCATGGCAATAGTGTTTACCAAGCTGATTCAAGAAGTATTATCCATTCAGTGTGGAATATGATTGGATGTGTGTCATTTCAAAAACTGATTACTGAGGCTTTTACCTGTTTGTATCACAACGCTTGTGTATGTTGCATGTATAAGACAGACTGCCATTTTTACTGACTCTTTCTTCAGATTACATTGATATGCCAGTAGGTGGCGAAAAGTGTCATTATAAACAAGATATGGAATCATTGATTCAGCCAATCCATTCAAAAACACTTTCTGGGTGAGTAACAGAATCATTCACTCAACCAATTTGTTTCACTTCTGTCTGCGTGACCAACGGTACGACTATTAACACTATTAATTCTGAATGGCTGTTTGAAAACAATTAAAGGGGTCATGAACTGCCTTTGTTTTTTATTTTGTACTGTTCTATGAGCTCCACTTATAATGTTTAATAGTGTTTATAATAGTGCTTATAAATGTTTATAATTTTTGCATCAAAAACATCATAATTTAGAAGAAATAGGCTATTTTCTGTCCTGTTTTTAACCCCCTCATCAGAACGCTGTTTGAATAGACGTGGCTGATTATAGACTCAGAAGTAAACGCCCACTGCTATGATTGGCTAACAGTTGTGTATGTTTGACAGCCTTTGTCCTTCACAGATGGACGCTGCAGTGATTTAGGTTAAAAAACGCATAAATACTCACATCAAACAATCTGTTTAACAGATAAAGCAATAGTGACCATGTAATAAAAACAGTTACTAACACTTGTGTGTTGCGACATTACTGTTGGATCCAATATAGTCAGGAACAGTATCGCCTTTCAGTTTCAATTTTTTTTTGAAAATCCTACGTCGTATTGTGCCTTGTTTGTAAACGAATCCGTAGTAAAAAGAAGTGAACAATGGACCAAGTTCTTGACGCGGTTTGGAACTTCATTAAAAATAAAGTTCATCCACTCTTTCCTAATGTTGGGATCAGAAGTAAGGCAATGCAAAGACTGTTTTTCCACAGCTTGGCACTGCACAGCATCTTGTTGCCTTTGGAGCCGTCTTTACATGTGCCAATCGGTGGGCAGGGCTAAACAGGCAGCGATGTAGAAGCAGCCATTGATCTTTTTCTGCAGAGGTCGTGTTTAGCCACACTATTACGTAATTAAGTGGCACATTCCACAACCTGTCATTTTGGCAGACTGGCTTCAACATACGCTGTTTTTAGACTAACGAGAAAGTTCTGAAACTTACAGGGTGTTTTTATAGTACAATGACCTCTTTATATGTCAAAAGATCAAGGGAATTTTGGCTTCTCATTTAAAGACACCCAAATACTATTTGACTTCCTTTATTCATGACAAGTGGCGGGTGACACATACAGAAACCTTTGTGTACATGATTTAATAGATAATTAGCTTTCTAATGCATTCTTAAAGTCTAAATAATTTGATAATAATGTATCCATAATTATTTGCTGTATTTTACATACACACACACACACACACACTTGTATCTCACCTGTTGTTTTCTCACAGACACTGTAGTAGGTTTGATTGCAGAGAGTTGTTTTCCATTCTCCATCCATGTCCATGTATGTACAAGGGCGGTTGGGCCGTGGTTCAGAAGGTGCCCATTTCTCCATATTCATGGGCCAGTTATTTGCCCATAGAAAATATCCATGTGTCTGTCGGATCCAAATATACAATTTGTAGATTATGAGTCATCATCAACATATCACACACAGAAGAGTAGGATATACAGAGTTCATTTTTAAAAGACTAATTTAGAAAAGCACACTCCGTAACATTTATATTTTCCAGATAATGCTCAAAGTAAAATGTCATTTTGTCATTAAATGTGATTAATCATTCGCGTTCATTGAATGGCAATGAGCAGCCTGTATATTCTGTCAAACATCTGCTCTTGTGTTCCACAGCACAAAGAAACTCATAAGGATGACATTCCCATTTTGGCTGAATATTCCTATTAATTGCAATGCCATGATTTTCCCTTTCTCACTCTGGTGCATTACCTGTGCACTGTTGAGACCAATCCACATGGGCTGTTTGGACCTATAGACCTGCAACTCAAGGTAAGCCTGTGTTATCAAATCCCGAATGCTGGCCAAATGAGCCCCCTCTGCCTCACAGCGACGGTTTGCCTCACTCCACGTTAGATTCTCTTGAATCACTTTGAAAGATGAATTTCCGAGATTGACAAAGGTTTTAGGAACTTCAGTAGGCACGGGGGCAATACCAGGATCTGAACATGTAAAAAATGACACAATGGAAGCAAAATATGAAGAACAGTAAAAGCCTGCAAGATATCTACAGTACAATCTCTCTGCAAGTCCACAGTGTTCAGTTAAACTCACCAACATCACGACTGCAGATAAAACCGTGAGTCGAATTACAGTCAGTTGCCACCCACTTGCCAAAGACAGAGCTTGACGTTTTGTCCATAAAAACACATTCCTGTTTGAAAAACAAACACTCTATTGAAGCCATTACTTTTATCACTAAAAATAATACTATCCAGTTATAATCTCAGTTTGTCTCAGTACCTGTTCATCCGAAGAGCGAAATTTTGTCCAATAGTATGAATGCCACTGTGAGTGGGGAAAAAATTTAAATAAATAACTATAAAAAAGTCCATAGTTATACTGAAACATCTTCAGGTTAAGTGTGGAATTTATTAAGCAGGTTTACATACATAGGTTTGAGGTTCTCCTTTGGCCCACTCGGTGAATGTAACTGTACTCCCATCTGTCCACTTGAACCCCCCGCTTGCCAAATTACTGAATCCAATCCAGAAGTCTGTGGTTTTGTCTCTAATCAATGTGCTTAAAAAGGCTGCAGCAAATAAAAATGCAGTGTATGATAATGATCAAGTCAAAGTGTACAGTAAACAAAATAAATAAATCTTTCTAATCAAGATACAGCAGTTCTATATTTTAGAAAAAGGTCCCATTTTAATCTATGCAAAAGATAATAATTCTACATTTTCAGAGCACATTTATATATTTTTAACATAATTTTGAGCAGCATTGAAATCTCTTGTCTAATTCATTAATTAACAAAGCTTTTACCTTGTTGTTGTCTACTCATAATTGATGCCAGATCTCCACCAAGCTCTCTGCAGTATTCTCTCGCTTCAGTCCATGTTTTCATGTCTTCTTTCATGTTGTAGCACTATAGTGTGTTATATAAATGACCATTATTTATTTTCTTCTAAAAATGAATTACAGATGCAGATCATGAAACAATTTCACAAATGTTGCATTGGAAAATCTATTACAGCAGTGCAAAAACTTTCTTTTTTTTTTTTTTGCAATAAGCACAGCTTTATTCTGTGTGAGATCTGATTTTGCTGTGAAACATTTTAATTTCATTGAGCTATAGAGCAATCTGGTGCAGAACTGTTTAAATATACTGACAAAAGCTACATAAACACTGCAAAAATGTCTAAATGTAAAACTTCAAGGTATAATTTTTATTATAACATTATTATTATTATATTTTTTATCATTTTAAAATATGTTTATAATTACTTTTCCTTTGAAGCTTTTCCACTCAGGAGCACAGCCTCCTTTTGGCTCTTGTGAAGGGGCCACCGTGGCATTCACTGGAGGTGACTGACTTCGCTTACAAAAAAAAGTATATTCATCACCACAGTTAATAGTTTCCCAGAGTCCTGTAACAGTCAAAATACGTTTTGTTTAATGTAATTTATCAAATGTATCAACAGTGATTTGATCATACATTGTAACCATTTTCTGCACCAAATTTATCAGTGGTCAATAACACATTCCACTAATTATAGACAAGAAGATATGCTGTACCTTGAGATGTGGTCATCTTCACACATCTTTCCTCACTGTTTTTAAAAGCAGGCTGATTTGTTTCCCAAGCTTGAAACACTACTGGGGACCCATCTATCCACCTTATAGATGAAAAAAATGTATTTGCTTATTTGTTCTTTTGCAAGGGAACATAGAGTGCTGCTTGCATTATTTAAACCTACTGGTAAGTCCCATCCAGATCAACTGTCAAACCAATGATAAAATCATTGTCCGAATTTTTAGCCTGCAACACAGAAAAAAAAAAAAGCCCAACACTAAAGTCAGTCAGTAAATTACATAGAAAACATTTTCAAAATAACAAATGATACAAAGATACATGTTGTGTTATACATGCACCACAAATATGCTGCTAGAAAATGTAACTCAGCCCTCATACCTGATGCCAAAGGAACACCCGCTCGTCCTCATCATTGATAACCACAAGATCGCCATGTGATTTCTTACAGAATGTCCGAGCGTCGTGCATAGAAAGTGCCGAGTACTGAGACGCATAGTACTGGCTACCTTTGAATTGAATCCAGCCATCCTCTGTTTCATTATAAACTTAAATAAAAAGAAATAAATGTTTGGCATTTGAGTTCCTCATTTACCCCATCAGTGTGACAAAAACAAACAAAAACGTTCGTGCAAGTTTAAGACTTACCTGGATCTGTAATATTTACTTCCTTTGGTATCTTTCCTAAAGACAAAGCATAGCAGTTAGCTGTCATGTATTTAATTAAAAAATTAAAAATAGAATTTTTCGTTACACTTTAGTAGCCTATATTGACCAATTCTCACTATTAACAAGTTGCATATTAGCATGCCTATTATTAACATATTAGCTGTTTATTAGTAGGCTACTTATAAAGCACATATTCTGCATGACCATATTCTACATCCCTGATCCTACTCAATACCTTAACTTAACAACTACCTTACTACTATTAATAATCAGCAAATTAGGAGTTTATTGAGGCAAAAGTCATAGTTAATGGATATATGTTAATAGCGAGAATTGGACCTTAAAATAAAGTGTGACCAAATTTTCTTTTCAATTGAGTGATGATAGAATTAGACTTTTGCCAGATTGACATGTTGTACCTTTTCGGATCTGACAGTACCAGTTCGTTCTGTCTTGACAGTTTATGTCATTCCATGCTCCATCACGGTCCCAAATTGAAATTCTCATTTCAACACAATTTTCAATGTTGTTCAAATTGTTTGGTTCATCACTAGTCCAGCTTTGATAGGATGACTGAAAGAGAGTAGATTTTGAAAAACCAAAATGACATTAAATGTGAATTCTATTTAGCATTTTTTGTCTTTTAACAAATTCTTTGTGAACTCACCGAAGAACCATCACTCCAAACAAAACCCACAGCGGGATCGTACATTCTGTAACCAATCCATGCTGGATCCACTCTAAAAGTAAAACCACATAGTTTATTTATTTATTTATCATTAATTTATGAATTAATCATTTTCAGTCACGTGACTTTTCTTCTCATTCACCATGGAATACAAAAACACAAGAAAAACACTAAGACAAATATAATATTCATTGACATATATGCAAGTGTATGAAGATTTAATTATGGGCAATTATTGTGAATTATGACCGCTGATGGTCAGTGTCACCTGACTGAAATACATGTCAGCTATTGATCATGTTAAACAAGTTTTTCCATTAGCTGGACATTCATCAGCTATCATTATGCAAAAGGAATGATAGATATTACCCTCCTTGTTTCCAAGGAATATCAGCTATTTATCATTAATTTATGAATTAATCGTTTTCAGTCACGTGACTTTTCTTCTCATTCACCATGGAATACAAAAACACAAGAAAAACAGTAAGACAAATATAATATTCATTGACATATATGCAAGTGTATGAAGATTTAATTATGGGCAATTATTGTGAATTATGACCGCTGATGGTCAGTGTCACCTGACTGAAATACATGTCAGCTATTGATCATGTTAAACAAGTTTTTCCATTAGCTGGACATTCATCAGCTATCATTATGCAAAAGGAATGATAGATATTACCCTCCTTGTTTCCAAGGAATATCAGCCTCATGATGGATACTCAGGAGATCACCACCAAGCTCTCTGCAGAAGTCAAGAGCTTCATCCCAAGTCTTCATTTGGCTCATAGGTACATTAAAATGCTGCCAGAAAGAGAAATCAGTCTTTATGATTTTATAAGATGCTAGGAAATGTGTATGCTAGTCTTTTATTTTGTTTAAATATCAAATTTAGGCAAAATTCAACATGAAAATAACTTAAAAAGCCTGTTTTACCTTGACACAGAAGTCTCTAGACAAAAGTGGCGTCCAGTCTTCGGGACAGGCCAAAGCAGGTGTGGTTGGTGGGGCTGGAGTTGTAACTAGTCCATCGGCTTTCTGCTTGCAGATGTATTTTTCCTTATTTGAGCAGCTGAGCACATCCCAAAGCCCAGCAACAAGTCCAGTCGTCATGGCAACACAGCCTTGTTTTCTTCCTAATTTTTTAAAGACAAAAAAAAAGAGATTTTCTAAAATGTAATACTGTAATTATGAGCAATCAGAAACATAATCATTTCATTGACATTGAGTACATTACCTGGCATCCCAGCGTTGAAATGAGTATATGAGGCTTCCTTAGTGTTGGTCCATTCAAAAGTGTGCAGATCCCTCTGATTTGACAATCCAATCCAGAAGTACTTCTCTGGTCGAGCTCCAACTAGACTAACAAGGAATGCATTTTCTACTCTAATGGGGAAAAACAGATGAAGTCTTTTGAAAAGGAAGAAAATAACACTGAAAGCTGTTCATAGCTTTTAAATATGAAATATTTTACACATACATTTTTAAAAGTTTTTTTCAATTGCTTCAAGATTTTAGTCAATGTATTAAGAATTCATTGTCAGATGTAGAAAGGACAGAAAGCATGTAACTGAAGAAATGATCTGACCTGGATGAAATATCAACCAGTTGAGAATCAGCTTTTGCACACATCTGTTTTGCTTCTTCAAAGGTCTTAGTCTCGGATCCTGCCATGTAGCAGTAGTACCCATACCTGGTCCAACCCTTCTCAAAAAATAAGACAGCTGTCAGTGTATACATTTCACCACCTGATGACCAAGAACATAACTAGAAGACATAATTCTACAATTTTAGGCCATTTTCTAATCATACAATACATACTGTTTTGCATCCCGGGCTTGTGACAGCTGTGTCATTATTCGAGGCTTTAGAGCTGGCCTTCTTCTTACAGATGAATCCATTCTTATTTTCACAAATATCATCTGCCCACTTTCCCTCCTAAATTAGAAACATTACGCAAATGTTCAGTTCAGCAACCCATAATGCTATGACAAAAACTATGCAACTAGAATTTAAGATGACTTCTCAAATAATGTGCAAAATGTTTTTAGTAAATGCTTTTTACTTCTTATGAAGTTCTTACCTCTCCTCTCATTAACACGCAGTCCTCTGCATAGACAGCACTGTGGCTCGGCTCCCTCACTTCCCATGAGGCAAATGGGATGCTAGACTGGTCACTCCACTCAAACAGCATCTGCGTTTTACGGTCATTGAAACCAATCCACAGCTCGTCTGTTTTCACTGAGAATAGAGATGTAGATGATCGACCAGCAACCTCATATAGGGGTGACTTCTATACCTTTTTTTTTTTTTACAACGACACTGTTAAAATGTATTTTAATTATCAAAACGTACAGTATCCAAGCTGTGTGATGACAAAGCTTTGCTCTTCTTTGCTGAGAATACTCAGCAGGTCTCCTCCTTCCCGCAGACAGGAGTCTCGCGCCTCCAGCCATGTTTGCTTATTGCGATGAAGGAGATAACAGTTGCCTGAATATGGAATCCAGGGGCTATGGCAAAAACCAGTGTCCACCACTGTCCAAAAGACAAAGATAACACATTATCAACACCATATATAGTACAGTATGGTAGAGGATCCCAACATTTTGGATACCATAGAAATTTCACAATTCTTGTCACCAGTGTCAATATCACAAAAAAAATAAACAAATACTAGCCTAAATTTTAAAAAAAAGTAAACTGTGAAACAGCGATTAAAAAAAGAACAAGAAACTAATTACAAGCAATATGACAAAAAAAACTACAGTAGAACAAATAAGATATGCTACATGTATTGTATAAAGTAATCAAATGTATTAAAACAACAAATGTTTACATTAAATATATATTTCTTCTTATTAAAGTTACATAAGTGATTTAGTTAGGGTGACCATACGTCCTCTTTTTCACGGACATGTCCTCTTTTTGGACCTTAAAAAATGCGTCCGGCCGGGATTTCTAAATCGCACAAAATGTCCGGTATTCGGCTTTTGCTTTCTACAGTCACCATTCATAGTGTGCGTTTTTGTATTGGAGCCCGGAAGAAGACTGTGTCCAGTCCCGCCCACTCCTGCAAGCATTCTAATATTGCATATAATTTTCCTGCATCAGGGGGACGCTATCCATATGCGGAGAATGTAATCTCTTTTGAATGAGCGCTCGCTGTTCTCTTTCACTTTCGATTTCGCGATCACGCGCACTCTGTGTAAAGGAAGATCAGATATTTGTCAATGAACTCAGGATCTCTTGAGCAAATCCTCCAGCATGGTCTGTCAGCCATCTCTCCTCTCAACCCGTGATCATTCAAATCTGACTCCTGCAGCTCGTGTTGGATGCAGGTTTTTTTTTTTTTTATGGAATTGGGCTACTTTTAAACTGTTGCCATGGCTTGATTTTTTCTCCGTGGGTTAAATGTTTGAAATGTTGCATAAATTACATTTGACTGAAATGCTTGTATTGAAACATTTTGCATTCTACCTATGATAAAACTGTGCTAGATGTTAAGTTCTATGAAGGACGGCCACTGGTAGGAAGCTTTTTAGCTGTGTTTATAATAAATATGCATAACAGTGACGGTAAAAAATGGATATTTGGTATGGAAATGACATATTTTGAGTTTTGATATTTGAGATTGCGCTACTTTGGGCGCTTTCGGCATTACTTTAACCACCAACCAACCAAACACCAGCCACCCGCCCCGCCCGCACCCACTGTCCTCTTTTTGGAAAACTAAAATATGGTCACCCTAATTTAGTTAAGAGCAGTGAGAGATTTTCTCTCTTTTATTGTTTGCTTAACAAGAATGACAGACAGTGAGAATAGATTACTGTCACTTTAAGAGCTGTCCAGATCCAATATACTGTTACACATGTTTTCTTTCCCAGCTGTTTGCTTTCACTTAAGACCTGAATTACTGTTTATGAAGATTCTTGCAAAGATGGGCATTTTGACACATACTTTGTGTGTATTTAACCGTTCAAAATCTACAAATCGGCAAAACTAACTCAGTTCAATACTCCCGTGCTCTATGAACACCGTCTTCACATGCGCGCACCTCTCTGACAGTGTGTGCATATAGCAAAATTAGTTCTCTTTCACTGCTGATTGCGTTTCAACGGCTCAAAATCACTTGTTTTTAACCGCAATGCTTAAAAACATGTGCAAACAATACATTTTAGTAACCATGTAGCACAGCAACGTCACGTGAGCGTGCAATCAAAACAGTCCAAAATCTCTACCGGTTGACAAATTTCTACCGGTTAATCGTGTCTACCGGTATATCGCCGACCCTAATAGCCCATATTGAAGTAGGTTAATAACACACTGACATGCAGTTCAATAAGTGAGTCACATGTATGAGAACCACTCTGAGGGATTTGGTGAAAAGATCAGACTCAAAAGAGTCATTTGTTTGTTAATTGCACTACACAGATCACGCTATTTGTTTTTCTTTTTTCTTCTTCTTCTTTTTTCCTGACACTGCTTAACTCACTAATTCCAGTCCCACAATTTGAGAACCACCGCTATATGAAACAAAGAGTGACTGGGAAGCCTACCTGGTGGAAGAGTTGGAACAGAATGGCCTCTTTGGCAGACATATCCATGTTTTTCAGAACAAGGCTCATTTGACCATTCAGAACCAAAAGCATTTCTCAGGACACCACAACTGTAGCCTGGTTGTGTGGTTGGGAATCCTTCAACAAAGAAAGAAATGATAATTTCAGTCAAGTAATACGCTCAGTTAGCTAGTCAATGCTTATTTTGTTTGTTCATTTAGTTATTCAGTACAGGCCAAAAACATCTAGGATATGGTTACTAAAGGCATAGTGAAGGTCTCTCACGTCATGCTACATTTACATTAATGTGCACATTCCTTTGTATCTGTTTGTTTGTTCACTGGGAATCAAACTAGTGTTGTTGGTATTATACTCTTCTAATTGAGCTACATGAATTCAATGAATCATTTGACTGAAAGACGGTCTTACCACTGAGCCATTTCAGATAGCGTAACGGCTGTCCATTGCTCCATTGCCATCCACTGGTTACATCTAATTTATTGAGTCCTGTCCATAGTGTATTTTGAGTCGTCTGGACAATTCCTAGACAAGGCAGTTTTCTTAATGTTTTATTCTTTGGATATTTCTAGACATTCATCAATATTACATTAGTGCATGTAATGATGATCAGTTCCATTCAGAGAATCTTTTGATGGGACTGTACCTGCTACAAAGGTGTGTTCGTGAGGTTCAGAGACACTCAGCAGCTCCGCACCTTGCTGCTGGCAGCTCTTTCTAGCCTGGTACCATGTCAGGGCCGACCCACTATTCACTTGGTAATAGACGTTTGTCAGAGGATGTTTGGCCCAGAAAGCATCTGCAAATCATCACTACCCATCAATATGTGCAAGCCAATGTTTCATTGTTAGAATATATATGATTTATTAGTTTAGTCTTCGGTGATGGACAAGTAACAACTGTAGTCTCAAAGATTTAATATTGATCATGCAGGTAACAATTCAAATGTAAAGTGAATAGGAAATAAACCTACTGTCAGGTGTTGGGCAGTAGCCCCACAGCTGATTAACACTGTAGTCTGTCTCAACGGAACACCATAGACGTTGATTTTGTGTATCAACCTTGGTACAATCTGCATACCATTTTTTCTCATAAAGAAAAGGAAATTGGCATGGGCGCCCAAAAGCATTCCCACCAATGGTGTACAATTCTGCAAAATAAAATGTAAGAATTTGTAGATCAGTTATTTGAACCATCATTTGTAGTGCTGGTGAAATGATCAGATTATGCACAAAAACATTACATTTGCAATTTAAAAAAAAAATAAACAAAAAATAAGACAATCTGCGAAATGGAATTGAATTTATTAATGTTGGAAATCGCTTTGCACTCAAAAATGGATATAATAAATCAGTTGCATTGGTATCAAGGGTAGTAATATTATATACCAACAAACCAGTTCCTGATGAAACTAGACAGTGGGTCCCATTGTGACAAAGGTATTTGAGTTACCCAATCACTAATATTTAGTGTTACCTTGGATTATGGCAAATATTAGGAAATATTCAAATATGGATGCAGTGATTGACCAATCAGAATAAACTATTACATGTACATGGACATGTACAGCTACGTAATGTGCTCAGGTTTCAATGGTACTTGGGAATGTTTTGATTTTGTTTTAAAGCCTGTAAAACAGAACTGATGACACACAGTAATTTATTTTTAATAATTTAGTGTTAATCTTTTTTTGTGATTGCATCCAGGGGCCAGTTACACATAAACATACCCACTATGTTCAGACTTCCCAAGCCAAGGAATAATCGGTCTTACTATTCAGATTCAAATCTATGTTTTTATGCAACTGACTTGGGGGAAAAAAACTGTTATGACCAGTCTTAAAGAAAAAAAACAGATGACTAACTTGTAAGACTAGTCTAAGCTGTTTACGCAATGACCACTGAACTGCTGGAAAACTTGTGAAAGACAAACAAGCTCAGCCGTCTCCTTAAAGGGAGAAGCAACCTGAGTCTTCACAAACAGTTTGGATTTATATTTGTTTACAAGTCGTAATAATGGGCATTTGAATAAAATGAATGAGCATAATACTAGTTAGGGGGAACATATACTAGAGACTTACTAATGAGGACAAAAAAGGTTGGGAATGAATGTTTAATTTCACCATTATTCAGTGAAATAACTGTTGTATTTTACTCCCTGATTAAATAACACACATTTGCATAGAAAAGAAAAAATTTCAATAGACACATTAAGACACATACCTTCATAAGGCTTAGAGCAAATGCCGTATAGTGTTCTATGAATTGTCCATTTGCTCTTCGCTCCAGTGTCTTTAGAGATCACTGGCACACCATTATCATTTACAGCCAGGTACAGAGACTCATTCTTTAGGCCAAGCAATGTATCACTGTGGCATTCCCACTTCTGCAGAACACTGTCATCTTCACAAATCAGCCACTGCAGTTTTTTGCCCACTGTTTTACTTCCTACTCCAAGGCATTTCTTTGTGAAAGTGTTCAAAATTCGATTCTTTGAAGTCCAGCGAAACTGTAGTGGGTTACTGTATGGGTCACAGGTGGCAAGCCGTTCCAGGGAGCTGGTCATGCATTTGTTATAATCCACATTATATATTAGAAAGTTTCCTGCTGCACAAAAATTTAATGAGATGCATGATTAATATTGCCATTTATTTTTCAGTTTGATTAAAGTAAAAAGACATACCTGACTGTGCAAAGCAGTTTGCTAGATGTAATACGAGAAAAATCACTACTGTTATTATTTTCATCTTGATCCAAAATGTATTTTGTGCTGCTGCTAAATTCATTCCAGTGTCATCCTCTGTCTTTGGCTGAGATTCTGTAGTCTCACATTTGCTGATGCGGACCTGCCCTTTAAACTGGTCCGATTGTCCCAATCAGAATCACATCCTGTCACATGTCTCTTTCTTCAAAACTGTTGAAACACTAACGTCACAAAGCTTCTTTGAAAGGAGGAGTCTTCTCAGTGATTGAAAATATGGTCTCAGCTTAATTTTGTGAATTTTGGTGTGAATAAGCGTTTTGGTTTGGTTATTTGAGGAATTACTGAGACATTCCCTCTTCCCAGCAATGGTTCTGCCCTGTCAGCATACACCACAATAGCTGTACAAAAAAAAACTGAATTACACTTCAAATGTATGATCTGAATGCAATTTCCTGTTATGCCTTGTACTCATGTTCCTGGACATCCTGTGTAAAAACGAAAATATGTTAAGGTCATGCTTGCCCTGATACTGTTAGATACTGTTACTGTCTGTGACCCCACGTTACTTTATAAATAAGATTTATAAATATATAATTATATAAATATTTTATTCAATAATTATAAATCATTATAAATAATTTTTTACACATTTGTCTCCAATCACCCGGTGGAATTTCAGTTCATTTTGCATACATTTATACTTACCTCTTGTTATGACGTCACCATTTTTCTGCCTCATGAGAACCAGTTGTCAGATGCCTATGAACACATCGCTGATTAACTGCAGGCCTACCGGAGAGCCACACACCCTCCTGAAATGGTGCCTCCCAACTCCCATGCTTTATAAACTGGCGGGGAAAAAAAAGTTTCCTCAACAGCCCCACATCTGCTATGTACACAGAAAGATACAGACACAAAGATATGAATTTATAGAAGAAAACAATGTGAGAAATATGGACACTTAAGCTATACTTTTGCATTTTATGGTAAAATATTAAATCACATGGTATTTTTAAAGGAATATGGAACAAAACGTCTCAGGTTACGTATGTAACCCTGGTTCCTCGAGGGAACGAGACGCTGCGTCGAAAACGCTAGGGGAACGCCTTCTGCGACCCACGCTCTGAATCACATGTGAAATCAGTCCAATAGCTCAACGGGACGTCACGGCGGGTGACGTCATGACCAGGAAGCTATAAAAGCACGTGCGGTGAGACCAGCGTCAGCTTCTAGGAATGAAGCAAGCGCCGGCAGGGACGCCGGAAGTATGGCACAGAGACGCAGCGTCTCGTTCCCTCGAGGAACTAGGGTTACATACGTAACCTGAGACGTTTTCCTTTATAGTCAATTTGCCTTGTGTTACTTACATCAGCAAGATTCTGATTATCATACTTAAAATTAGATTTAAACCGTGTATTATGTTGCAGTTCCTAATAAAGTTTACTCACCCAAGTCAATTTTACTTTCATTTGGCAATTGGCAAGTGTTATTTTTGGGCCCTGTGTGCAACACTTGATTGTGTTAAGGAAGGATATTTAATATGGTAGAAAAATAGCTGAACACTACTGCCAAATTCATCTTCGAGTATCTCTAACGAAGAAGAATCATCATAGACACATTGATGCTCTTCATTCATAAGCATTTGTTGCTCTAGTGACAGTGATTTTACAGTGACAGACTGCACCTTTACGATTTTTAGCTTGGCCACGGCACGAGTAAGCACCTCCACTAGCTCCTCATATTGGGGCGATTGAGGGGGCGAAACCTCTTCGACGTCCTCCACGTCAACCTCCTCGGAGGAAGACAGGAGAAGCGTCGAGCTGTCACCCCGGGAGGAAGTAGCCGCAAAACGGGCTTCCGAACCCAGAGATCGGGCACTGGATCTGGTGGGTGAGGAAGGAGATAGATCCAACTGCGAACCCACTCGTGATGTAACGTGGGCAGGGAGGAACACACAACCTATAACGTGGCTTGCACTCGCCCTTTGCATGCTTTGTCTTAGCGTGAGCCTTAGACATAGCTGCTTATTAGACGTTCTCACAATAGACAGACAACAATAAATATGACTGACACACACAGAGCGCTTCGCTGAATGACAGAAAGCTGACGCGGGCTCCGCCGCACGTGCTTTTATAGCTTCCTGGTCATGACGTCACCCGCCGTGACGTCCCGTTCAGCTATTGGACTGTTTTCACATGTGATTCAGAGCGTGGGTCGCAGAAGGCGTTCCCCTAGCGTTTTCGACGCAGCTCGAGTTCCTGAAGAGGAAACACTTTTTCCACAATACAAAAATAAAAAAGAAGTTTAATATTTTAAAAATTTCTATTATTTTTTTTGGTCTTGTCTTCTGTCTACCTGGGTTCTTCATCTCTGGTTCTGGCAGAGGACTTTATAATTCTGTTCACTCAAGAAGCTAAAGTAGAAATCATTGTCCAGTGAGGGTCTTGGTTCATCCTGTGTCATCTGTGTCTTTTAATGCCAACCAAAATATGATTCCATTCAATTCTGAGAGTAGAACTGCAAGAACTGTTTAACAAGAACTGGCAGTAATGTATCATATACAGTAATACCATTTACTGTATGTATCCATCTGTACTCAACGTCCGTGCTACGAGGGGGCCGGCCATCTAGGTGCCCCCTCACTTCTATAAGCACCCCACGGAACGCGATTTCTACCGAGCCTTCCTCTAGTCTAGAAAAGCAAATGACTCTGTCTGTACTGCAGACTTACTGGTGTTTCTGATGAAAGTATGACTACCCTATATGACGGATTAAATGGAGGACCGTTTGATTCAAAATCAATCATCTTTTCGATTCATTAAATGAGCAAGTCATTTGGACGTGAATCAGATTATATTTGTCACCATGTGGATTTGTTTGTGGCGTTTCTTATCTGTATTCTTATCGTTTCTTATCTTTGTTTTTTAACCACGTGTTTTTTCATAGGTTTAATTTAGACTGTAACCTTTCCTCGTATTCAAAACGCAGTAGGCTATTTCTTTTTTCGCAAACGGAAGCGCAATTTGTCTGCTACAATGAGCGAGTTTCGAAAGCGTTTGCGTGCGTTTCCTCTCGCTCCACGATGACGCGGATTCTTGAAATGCACAATCTGGAGTGAAGCTTCATCACGGACCAAAAGAACACGTGAACTGGGAGGGAACATCTCTGGTATTCCGTTCCACTTGATCCAAGCCGATATTATCATGGTTGTGATTATCTGGGCCCTCGTGGACTGCACAGCGTGATTGCAAATGTTATTGCCTAAATAATCTCCGTCTAAATGTGCTTTGATAACGAATGAATGTATAATGAGCATCATAAAGAATATCATCATGGTCATTTCCATGATTTTACCTTGACACAAAGTTCCTGGATGCAAGTGGTGTACATGCATTCTTGAAGGCAGGTGTGATTGGCAGGGCTGGATCCCTCATCAGCTCTCTGCTTGCAGATGTATGTTTTCTTATTTGAGAAGCTGAGCACAATCCAAAGCCCAGCAACAATTCCAATCTTCATGGCAACATAAAATATGAAGTCTTATATGCACTTATAAAATATAAATAGAAAATATAAATAGAAAAATAATTTAAATAGCTGATAATGGTCAGTAACAGTTAAGTCCTAAAAAACTCAGTACCTTGGTTTCATTTTTGTGTTTTTAATAGAATATGAAGGCGTTTAATTAAAAAATATATTCACTATTGTGTCTATGCAAGTGTGTAAAATTGCATTTCCTTGAAATGGTTTTCTAAGTAGCAGTTCTGTTTTTTGGGGGGGTTTTTTGCCATCTTTGCAGTTTTTCGAATCACCTCAGGTCAAACTGATAGTCAGCTTTTGTGGTTCCATGTTTTTGGATTTGTGGAGTTGACTAATGAAGTATAAGGAAGGTTGATGAAGGAAAGCAAATTTCACTTCCTTTTTTGTCTGGAGTTACATAATCATTCATTTCCGTCTCTCGCTTCACACAGTGATTCCAAACGCATCTGTTTTTATGTCCTCTGTGCTGAGTTTGCAGGGTGAGGACAGTGAGTAAGAGAAGAAGTGGGGAACCTGCCTGACTGGCATTGATGATCTGTGTGTGGCAGTTAAATGTATTGCACAATGTCAAAAGGATAGTGTGTACGGGTAGTCTGACCTCACAGTTGCTCAATTTATTATGAAAATTACAAAATTGACTTGAAAAGTTAAATTCAAACTCTGAACTGCAACTGAATTGGATTCCAGAATCTGAGTAAGTTACGCATGATTAAGGAAGCATGAATATTAGTTTTTACCTATTTTATATCACCTATTTCATCTTCAGTACTTCATTTTGTTTTCATTTTTTAAAGTTTAAATATTCCATATTTTCTCTTCATTAATATGGTAATAAAAGTGCATGTATTACAAGAATTATATCTTTTTTATTAATTAATGTTTTTAATGAGAATAACGTCCCACAGCAGGACATCAACTTCCCCTATACAAGCAACATTAAATAGTTTATAAACTGCCTTTACATTCCCTTATAGAAAATAACTGTTGGTTGTTGTTGTTTTTTTCACAGCTGTGGTGAATTTGACTGTAATGACAACTTGGGAATTTTCCCCAGCCATCACTAGTGGTTGTGGGTTTCCTCTTTTACCCTTTTTGCTTTGTATATAGGCCTACAGTGCCTTGGCAAAATGGCAAAGCAAAAAAAAAAAGGTTTTTAACATCTTTGCAAATTTATTAAAAATAAAAAAACTTTAAAAAATGTATTTTTCATTGCATAAGTTTTCAAATTATCTGGGACAGTTGAAATTTAGCTCAGGAGCATTCATATTGCTTGTACTACACTTCGAGTCCTGTGGCGAATTCATTTTGCCTCTCAATAAACGGTCTAACACACACTTCTCAATAAAAGGTCTAAAAGCTGAAAATGCATATCAGAGTGAAAACCAAGTCCTAAGGTCAAAAGAACTGCCTGTAGAGCTCAGAAACAGGATTGCGTCAAGCCACACATCTGGGGAAGAGTTAAAAAAATGATGCTGCATTGAAGGTTCACAGAAGCATGTAGTCTCCGTTACCCTTAATGGAAGAAGTTTGAAACAACCAGGACTCTTCCTAGAACTGGCCTCCTGGCCAAACTGAGCAATTGATGAAGAAGGGCTTTGTCTAGACTGGTGACCAAGA